GGGCCTCCAGCCTTTTGGTCAGCGGCTGAGCTGGCCAGCCTGGCCCTTAGGTTTGGATCCACCACTGGACAGCAGTATGCTCATTCTCAGGCTCCTGGGCTTGGCCTTGAAGGCTAATCAGGAAGCCAGCGTTCCCCAGAAATGGTGCAATAGTACTGGCACGAGGCAACCATCAGCTCTGGAGCATTACTGGGGCCTGAAACAGAGCTCGTGGAAATGGTTGTGAGATGACTCAGACCCGTTGAAAACATTCACTCACTGAGCACAGAACGTCACCCTCCCATCTTCTTGCCTCCACTAGAAGTCCAAAGCCATGCCCACTGTCATCCCGCCTGTGCCAGCTCCTAGTGACCCTAGAGGACAGGGGAGAACTGCCCTGTGGGCGTCTGAGACTGTGGAGCTTTATGGGAGCAGGGAGCCCATCTTTGTCCAGCGGGGCACTTGGTGGTGTCCAACTGCGGTCCTCCAGAGTCAGAGCCCAACTCGAAACCACCGTGCCACCAGAGCTTGTCCCTGTCGCCGTTAGGCGGCGCCAAATCGGCTCTGACTCTGACCCATAGTGACCCTGTGCTCACCAGGGCAGACACTGCCCTCCCCCCACACACGTGAACCCATTCCATGATTCAGCCATGACTTTCCTCTGTCTTGTGGAGGGTCTTCCTCCTTTTGGGCTGGCTCTTAACCAAGAATGGACCAGTCCCTCCTGAGGACCAACCCCTCCAGTGAGCGGGCATGGGACAGGCCCCACACACGTGAACCCATTCCATGATTCAGCCATGACGTTCCTCTGTCTTGTGGAGGGTCTTCCTCCTTTTGGGCTGGCCCTTAACCAAGAATGGACCGGTCCCTCCTGAGGACCAACCCCTCCAGTGAGCGGGCATGGGACAGGCCCCATCTCCCCGCAGACCGCTGGGTGGAGCTGCTGCTGATCAAAACCCTCCCGAGCAGGACCGGCTCCGTGCCTCTGTGTGCCGCTGGCCAGCAGGGCCTGTCCCAGAGGCAGACTGTCCACCTGCACGTGTGTCCTGTCCCCGGAGAGCTACGTGTGTCCAAAATCTGTGTGGCCACGTCTCTCCATCCTCACCTCTCGGGCCCATTCCAACTGCTGGGCCCCCAGCACAGACACGTTTGTTCTGCTAGGTGTCTGTGCTCACTAGTCCTCACCAACAAAGTCACTCAGGGGCAAGTTCTTCGGTCTTCCGGACTCATCGCCCCACTCTCGTAAGCATCTGTGGCAACTGAAATGCCCTGGCTCAGGTCAGGGGAACTTCTGTCCTCAAAGGGACGTCTGTCTTTGTTTTCTGTCCCTGGACACCCCTTGGCATGGGTGAGTGTGGTCAGGCTGTGTTTAGAAACGGGGGACCTACTCTTGGGAGACAGACCTGTGAGCTTTCCCACCTCTCTCCTCCCAGGGACCCTGCTTTTCCTGAGACGCAGCTACATTAAGATTGGAGTCAAGGGGTGCCCTATCATCCATGGCCCCTCAGATCATTCCCTGCCTGGTAGACCGACCCCCCTGG